TATTTATTATGTTCCAAATTCATCCTTTTTCAGATAACAAATTGATGACAATATGAGTTTAATATTAATATGTTGTATGATATATGATAAAATATAATCTTACAATCTCAAACAACTATCATATCTCATACATCATATTAACATCCAACTCAGACTATTGATAAATTTTTATCGAGAAAGGATGAGTTTAGAACATAATGAACAATTAGATGATCATTTTAAAACTTTTAATAGTCAAGGGACTCAACAATGAAACATACTATAATCAGGGGATCATTTTATAACTTTGGATAGTCAAGGGACTCAACAAAACAACACCATATAGTTATAGGACTATTTGTATATTTTATCCTATTTTTTATATTTAATGTTAAAATGATAGATAATTATATATTTTGAGGAGGTAGTAGTCAAGGCAAGTTGAGATTGGTAATAAAAGTGTATGCTCAATAGAAAGAAGAAGATTTTGAGGAGACAGTAGTCAAGGCAAGTTGATAGTAGGGTTGTGGCTGATCGTGGTTTGTCTGCAACAGATTTCGCTGCTAATCGGACGGAGTTAGAACATTGAAGCGAGGGCAACGCTTCGCGTGGGTGAGGATCTTGGCTTTGCTTTCTTGTTTTGGAAGATAATGTGATTTTAGTTTGGAGCACTTTGTGCTCTAGGTGTTATATAGTGGGTGAGTTTTCTGCGTTAGTAGAATGTTCCTGTTAGGGCAGAGCTTCTAGAGATCTTTTCCGCTGTTTCGCTATGGCCCTCGATGGATTCAAGTGTTTTAGAGTTGTTCGTAGTCTCGCTTCTTTACTGTTTGGTTGATGCTGTTAGGGCTCAGATCATAGTATAACAACCTTTGATAGGCATATGCTCATCTGTCTTATGTCTTGGAGGTTGTATCATGGTTTTGTTCGTTGTTTTGGATGTGTGTAGTTCTTCTTTGTGTTTCATTCAGCGGTAGTGTGTAGCTACATTGTTGTAGTTTGTGTTTCGGGTTGTTTTAGTGGTGTGTTCCAGGCTGTTGGTCTTGTTGTTCATGGGTTCATGTTGGACCTTCTTCCATCCTAAGGTTTACTATTTTTCCTCTAATTAGGATTAGAGAGGTTTTTAATGAGGTCCTTGGGGTGTACTTTGTGATTTCTAATACAAAGTAACCATTTTTCAAAAAAAAATCACATCTCTTTCATATCATTTGTTTTACTTTCAAATTAAAATTATTTGTACAAGTAATAAGAGATTTGTTAATCAAATGATTATCTATACTCATTTTCTTATTCTGAATTGGATACTATAAAAATTCTTTATTTTCTATAATGAAAATGTTATTACATTATTAGTGCCAAGTAATGTTGACAAACAATACAATATAGTATTTCCAAATTTTACTAACCAAAATCCTTTTATCAAGGGAAGAATCGTGGACAACATTTTACTTACATAAAAGTTAGTTAAAAGTTATTTTCAGAAATCTCTCCCCCTTAGGTGTGCTATCAAAATTAATTTGTAGAAGATCTTTGACTTTGTTAATTGGGATTTCTTGTTGAATGTTCATGTTGTCTGTTGTTACGGGGTTGCCTAAGGTTTTTAGAGGGTGGATAAAGGCTTGTGTCACTTCTTTTAGAATCTTTGTTTGTAACGCCCTAGACTAGTACGACACACAGTAGACCGATTTAAGGTACTTCACAGAACCATCAAAGTGGTTGACCAACTTTTTCTTACTTTCTTTAAATATAAAAAATGTAAAATAAATTGAAGAATAAATAAAATATTTACACTGAGGAGCTCCAAATTAAAATATTTACACTTTATAAAAATAATACAGACCACTCTATCGAAACTACGACTCAACTGGACAATAAAATTTACAAATATACACGCCCTTTCAAAAATGTTGAGACGTACTCTGAATATGCACTTGTCTGAATTGGGTTTTGGTCTATCTACTGCTCCTCACCTGCTGGATCTACTAACCTGCCCACAGAAACAATCCGAAGGCTGAGCTAACTAGCTCAGCGGCACACTAATAGCTAAAACATACTAACTGCATATCATTAAAAGGCTAGCTATCAAGTCTACTGATCTGATATGTTTAGTGAATATCCTTGTGATATTCGCTCTCTACGCTACTGTAGACATCATAGTGCGACTGAAGGATTAATGTATCTTGGAGCTCACACACCCCTCTAGTCTATTAGGATATGACCCTCGAAGTTCTGCATTATACACCATATCCCTAACTAACCCACCCCTTGCGAGTGTTAGGCCTCGACCTTAGTCGGTTTTCAGGGCCTTACGCCATGCCTAAAGATATATCCGAACTGTAACTATACTTTTGACTCCACTAGCTTTTATAAAGGAACTCGGGTGTCTAAATCGTTTCCTGAGCATCAAACAAGGCTAGTTTTATTTTCCCTAATTATTTAGTTTCTACGGTTGAATTAAACATCAATTATGTTCTCACTTGTAGTCTTATTTGGTGATATAAATAAGTGTTGGGGGTACGTCGTGTTTAAATCCCTCAAAAACTGACCTTTTTGCCCAAAACAGACTGAAAGTATTGATATTAGCCAAGAGTATCGATACTCCTGCAAAAGTTTCGATACTTTATATAAGTACTGTTACTTTTAAATATTCTTTTCTATCTAGTTTCGATACTTTCTGGGAGTTTCAAAACTATGACTCAAAGTTTCAATACTCTTGCCCAGAAAACACGGTTTTACACATAAATGGAGAACAAGTATCGATATTAACCCTATAGTATCGATACTTTACTTACACAAGTCATAAAATAAGCACGAGAACCTCTATTTTTCAAACCCAAAGACCATAGTGAGGTCCCCAAACATTCTTAAAGTCTTATGTGATATTAAGGGAGCATAATTAAGGCTTAGAAACATGCTGAAAACATTAAATATAAAATCTACCATGGAAGGCTAATTAACATGCTCATACTCAACTTTCAAGTTAAACTTATGTCTAATGTTCCTACAACTGGTATGGAAAAGCTAATAGTATGTTACCTGAATTCTTTGGATGCTAAAACCCCTCTCAAACAACTATGAATCCACATTTTTTACCCTTGGCTTTTGAACTCTCTTCAACCTCTTTAACTACAAGGTATAAAAATGAGTTATTTATTCAACTAGAGGCTAGATAAACTTAAATACATTACCTATAACTCAAATCCTTTCCTAAAATGGCTTGAATCACTTGGTTCATTAAAACCCATAAAAACTAATTTCATAAATCTTAACCAAAACCTAAGATTAAGAGCTTGAAATGAAGCTTGAGGGAAGGAGAATAAGACTCTTACCTTGGTTGATTCAAACTAAGCTTGAAATTCCTTAAAACTTGATATTGGCTAAGGAAAAGAAATGAGGAAGAAGAGTTTGGAGAAGAATAAAATGGGAATATATTTTTGGGGAATGACTCACCTGAAAAATAAGGGAGATAAGGGGTTTTTTAACCTTTAAAACAAGCTACGGGTAAACTACACTTTTAGTCATTCTCCCATTAACTCATTTTTAAAAAACACCACTATCCTTAGCCTATTGGGTTAACCTAAGCCCAATACCCTTGAGAATTGGTCTAGTTTAGCTTAGAAAATCTAATGGTCTCTATCGACGATAGGGTTGAAACTAAATGTTGCAAAAATTGATCTATTTGTTTGTGATGTGGATGATGATTTTCTAGACAGAATATATGTTGCTATTAGTTTCAAGATAGACAAATTACCACTGAAATACCTTGGTGTACCTCTAGTAACTAGAAAATTGACTAAAAGGGATTATTTCCCTTATTATAGAAGATTAGAAGTAAGTTTGGGTTGTGGTCTAGACAGAGTCTTAGTTATGATGGTAGACTGCATCTTATTGAAACTGTTCTGTTTAGTATCCCCAATTTTTTATATAAACAATTGATTTTACCTAATGTTGTAATTCGGAGGATTGAGCAATTGTGCATGTGTTTCTTTTTGAAGGACAATGATATACCAACTAAAGGAGCTAGGGTTAATTGACAACATATATTCTCTTTGAAATCAGAGGGAATCTAGGGATTAGAAATTTATCTTGTTGGAATAGATCCTACTATTTATTTATGGTTAAAAGTATTTTGGCAGGGGAGGGCTTTCTCTGGATGGCCTAAGTGAAGGAGTATACTTTGAAGGGGAGGATTTTTGTCTGCTTATTGTAAACCTCATTTTTATTGAATCCTAAAGAAGCTATTGAATTTAAGAAATGAGATTAAAAATTTATTTGTAACTGTGGTTGATTGAAAGGAGGTCAATGTGGTATGATATGGGGGAAATTAGGTATAAGAAGGAGAATGTGCAATATGAGAATTTGATTTGATTTCCCTTACATATTCCAAAATTCTCCATTATTGTTTGGATGGTCATTTTGGATAGATTGTCAACCAAAGATAGGTTCATTTGTATGGGATAAACTCGAATAAAAGTTGTCGTTTATATGGTGTTCGGGCATCTCTTTTGTGATTATCCTTTTTCTTGTAGTGTTTGGAGCCTTATAGTTCTTTGCTAGGAGGATACTTTGGCTTGGGTGGTAGATAACTTGAAGGGAAAGTCCCTTGTTTTGTGTATTCTAAAGTTTGCTTGAATACCTTAAAAAAAAGTTTGCTTGGATTGAGTTCCTGTATTATGTCTGGGATGAGCATAATTATAGGCAATTTAGGGGGTTTACTCGTTCAATTGATACTTTGTATGAGCTTATTAGGGGATCTGTATGTTCTAAATTGCATGGTTGCATCATTAATAGGTTGAATATGATGAATATGAAGCTATGTCTTAAGTGGGAAATCCTTTAATGGTTTCCTATAGTCTGTATTTTGTTGCAGTTTTTGCTACATCTTTTGAATAATACAGAGGCCAAAGGAAACGCACTCAAAACCTAACTAGACAGCTAGATAAATTCAGGGTCAATTTGGTTCAAACTCTTAGTTTTCATAATAAATACAGTTGGAGCAAGACTCTTAATTACCCAAATTAGACAACGGCTAACATGACAACCATAGAAAGGTGACAAGCTCACGATGTCGGTAACCCCTTTACTTGTCGGCAAGTCGAGGATTCCATTGTACGAAAGGAATATCATAAGTAGCCGCTCCAAAGTTTTCCAACTTTCTCAATATACACTTACACATTGAGACAGCGGTGAAGTTACACCTTAACTGAAACAAACACTATATATAGTACTGCCTAGGCCAGGTAATTTATAAAGCTGTAGTGCAGATTATCACGGGCCCAAACTATAAGAACCATCACCCATGAAGCGACCATCCATATATAGAGCTGCATTTTGTGGATGCAGACCATCCATCACCATGAATTGCATGTCTTCAGAGGGTTTCCAGTGACGCTTCCTTTGATTTATGAACCAATTATTAATTTGTTTCTGCTCCAAACCTGTTGATTCAGCCAGTGCCGCCTTCTCTGATTCCTATGGGATTAGTACCCGGTTTTGTTAGCAATCCAATATGAAAAACTAAAATGTCAAGTGGAAATTCCAATATCTTGTCAATTATAGCAGGTGTTAAAGATAACGATTCAGCTTAGAAATACATACCGAGGGGTACGGCCATTTGTAGTGCAACTCCCACCAACTATGCAATTTCTGTCTAGCTTCTTTTGGCAGTTTCCCTTTCTTCTTTTTCTTGGAGAGTTCTTGCCTGAGACTACTTAAATAACCACTATATTTCCTCAATAGTTGGTTCTTCAGTTCTTGATCTTCAACACGCGGATCAAATTCCGCTACTTCGGTTTCTCCACCACTATTATCTTGATCCTCCTCAGATGAACCAACACCCTCACACTTCTCATCTGTTTATTTTTTAATAGAAAAAAGGTGGAATGACTTGAAAATAAGCACTTGATTCAATAAACCAAAAAACACAATGCAGGGAATTTTCAGAGCATTATTCATGGTCCAATGACAACAAACATCATTATCGAATTCACAGTATCAGTGCAATACATGCTTAACAAAGCAGTATTTGATGAAAGCAAACATGAGAATTCAAATCAAAAGCACAATATACTCTTAAAACAAATACAGGTAATTTGGGCAAAGAGAAAAACGTTTTTTCCTCAGAAGTAAATTCCATGAGTTAACAGTTGATGGTTTCTGTTACAACATTTCCCTATATCTTTTAAATAAGGAGACTTGCCAATTCAAACAGAAGAGCTAGTAAAAGACAGCTACAAGAGAGATGGGACATGTCAATCAATATATGGTTCCTACACTGGCACAAAGGCCAGGTGCCACAAATAGATAAGTGGGAAGCACTTTAAGATAGTGGAACGTAAGTAAAGGAGAATGAATGCATTGCCTATTCAATGTAGCGAAAGCTGAGAAATTGAGATTGTAGCTCATCAGCCAGATTTAAACAATATTAATGCAAGAGAAGGTCCGAATACAGATAAGCAAATTTACCAGAAACGACAGATAATAGGATTTAAGAAGGCAATATACTGCTAAATACTCCAAAGTACAGCCTTTGTCAATAACATGCCTGCCCCAATATTTATAATGTACCAAAAATATATATCCATGTAACGATAACAAAGTATCCTATAATCAATATATTCCTTCTGTGGTTTCAGACTGCTTAAAAAAATATTAGAAAATAGGAGCAACCTGTGAATGATAAACCCCAATAGACACTACCAATAGAGGAATATATTGTTTTTTATCCTACATCCGTACACAATGGGGTAGCACCTGTCTGATTTGATTGGGCGGCATCCTATGCTCTACAATTTTCCTAGCCTTTAAAAAAAACTATAGGAAAAAAGGAAATACAAAAGAAAATTTACATACTAATTGTTCTAAACGAAAAACAACTGGGGAAAAGAAGACTAATGATTCTCTCTCGAGGTATATATTTAAGTACAAAAACCCACATGAATCAGAATCAGATTTAGCAGAAGTAAAGAGAATACAGTATCCATATTTTGGGAATAATAAAACCCTAAAATAAGAACGGTTGTCAGAGATCATTGAAAAGGTCACCCCATTATAGAAAAGCCGACGTGTGGATTTTATTGAACACCCAGCAATAGCATAAAACCGAGTGCGTTTCGTCTTTCCTCTTTCCAAACATAGGAAACTCGTTAATTAATAAAAAAAAGGTAAATTCGTCAAGCCAATTGAAATTTGCAATCAAATTATTACTATAGTCTACATAGATTCGTCATTAGCTAGGGTTTTCTCAATTAGCTGATTAAATACGTCCTTCTGTTAGCTGGTGTTTATCCTAATGTTGGGTCTTCTTCTCCTTTTCTATGGATTTATTTTTCACTAGTTTTTTTTTCCCTTTTTGCTTCTTCTTCAGTATTGAAGGCTCTTGTTCCATCCTTCCCTTTCTTTTCAGACTTACTCATTAGGCAAAAGGTAAGCAACCCGCTAAATCATCATCATCTTCGTGAATTAAAGCGCGCGTCGATGGAAAGAAAGAGGAGAGAAAAAAAGTACCGGAGTTGAAGATCAGCACGGGAGTGTTGCTGAGCATGTTGAGCTGAGCTTCGATCCTCCTCGTGAAATCCAAAGCTTCTTGTATTGGCCTCGTTAATTCCTCCCGATATTTCACCAACATGTCATAGTAAGCTTCCTGGGTTCATGGATTCACAACTTTTGAGTCAGAAGAAAGAGAAAAAAAGTATTGAAATGGAACAAGTAGCTGTTGTTAAACCCCAAAAAGGTGATCATAATGCCAAAGAGAAGAAGGTTCAGTGCCAAAATTTGAATGGTATAATGAGAAGCAAGATCACCATAAACTGATCCAGTTCCGGATCTTTCGGGGAGTCTCTCGTTGCCACTGAAGATCGCTGCCTCGCTTCAAACTCTTGTCGAGCAGCTGCTAGTCGGGCCATTACTTGAGGTGGAGCTCCCACCTACATGAAAATAGTATAAAAAATTATTAGTGGTGATGAAAGGGTCAACGAGTTAATCGATAGAATTATCTTTTGAGTATATTAAATGTAGTTTAGTGTAAACAGAATATGCACTTCCTTTTGAGGGAAACTTACCTTCTGGCAATCCATGTAAGCTTGCAGGAGGTTATTGTACTGAGGATGAGCAATGATCTTGGCTTTGATAACTTCCGCTTCACTTGAGCTTTCGTTCCCTTCTTGCTGCCCTCTCAACAAAGGGTAGTGAATTTCTTGACCATGTTGAGAATTACTAGCTTCAGTTCTCACAATTTGGTGTCCCTCCGATTGATAACACTCGCTCGATTGAAGCTGAAAAGAAATCAACGGCATCTGGGTCTGCTGATTGCTCACGTTAGAGCCGCTACTCGCTCTCCCATACGGAGAAGAATTCGGTGCAAGAACTGGAGTTGCGTACAAGAAATTTCCCCTAGGAATACCATTCTCGTCCAGCTTATTATATTCATCCATTATTTAATTTTGTCAAAAATTAATCTATGAACCAAACATGTATGAAAAGATATTTAAAATTTTCTCTAAGCTAGAAAGCAATCGACAAAGAAAAACCCTAAAGAAAGCAGTTTAAAGGAATAGAAACTCTAGACACCAACTGATCATTTAGTTCAAAAAGTTTTCCATTTCCATATCAAATCGAGTTGTAGACTTGAAACTTTGGAACAATGGAGACAAGTATTGAAATTCTTTGCAGTTTTATGTCAGGGGAGACTTTAAGTGAAATTGCACCAACACGGACACTTATCAAGAGAATAACAGAAGAAGGATAAACCGCTAACTCGACCAAAAAAAAGGAAAGATAAGATTAAGGGTTTTGAGTTGAGGTTGAAGGAAATAAAGTATGGCGAGAAAGCTTAAGCCGGAACCTGCAAGCCACTGGTGTTATTGGGTGGTTGACAAAACGTTCTTTGTTGAAATAAAAATAAATAGGGTATTTATATATTTAGTATCTAAACTATAAATTTTAGTCAATTTTAATTCTTAACTTTTAGGTTTTTTAAAATTATACGTAAAGTTTAATTTTTGTTTCATATTAGTACTCTATTAAAAACTTAATGTTAAGTTTTGATTTTTTTTAAGTTTATCTACTAAAATAGACTTAAGCTGATAGTTTAGATATTAAATACGTTAAGTTTTTAACTACTAAATACTAAAATGAAATAAAAATCAAGTGTTAGGTATAATTTAAAAAAATAAAAATTTAAATATTAAAATAAATTAAAATTTATTATTTAGATATTAAACACATAATTTACCTAAATAAATATTTGAAGATTTATAAAGGCAAACCACGAGATGAGGCCGTTGGATTAGTAAGGTGAAATTCTCGAAAAAACACCGGTGATCGGTATATTTACCGATCTAACACCGGTTATATTATATTTCTCGATCTAATACCCGTAGCAGTAAAGCGCGCCCTCTGCCCCGCGCTATATGCTGATTTGGCGCCACGTGGGATATAGCGCGCCCCTTGCACCGCGCTATACGCTGACAAGGATTACACGTGGGTATAGCGCGACCCCTGATCCGCGCTATACGCCACGTAGGGATATAGCGCGGATCAGGGGCCGCGCTATACCTGGTTATCTGACACGTGGGGTACAGGGGGCGCTATACCCATAATTACCCCCATACCCCCGACGCTTTACACCCCCAATCCTCCCTATAAATACCCCCATCCTCAATCACTTTCATCACACCAAATTCTCTCAAATACTCTCTCTGTTTAAGGTATATTTTATAATATTTTTAATATTATGTATTTAATTTATTTAATTATTTTACTTTATTTAATATTTTACTAATATAATTCTTTTGCAGATATATAATGGAAGGCAGTCTACTTCGTTTGGATGGAAATCATATATCTCGACACTTTGCTGATACGGTAATGTTTTAACGTTTTAATTTAATTTAAATTATTAGTAATAATGAGTTGATTTATTTAATGCATGATTATTAGATTAAGAATTAATTTTTGTAATTATTTATTTATAGGAGAAGGACCGTGTATTAGATCATTTTATTAGGAATCTTAAGTTAGTGATACCTAGTTGTGTTTTTCCGTATTTAGTAGAGGCTGGATTTGGTTACATAGGTAGATATCAGGGTCACTGTAAGATAGAACCAGACCTTATTTCTGCCTTAGTAGAGCGGTAGAGGCCGGAGACCCACACATTCAATCTTCCGTGCGAAGAGTGCACGATCACGCTTGAGGATGTTTCTATGCACCTGGGGCTTCCGGTGGATGGAGATGTGATATCAGGGATAGCTTCCGGTTCTTGGACTACTTTGTGTCAGGATAATCTAGGACGTGTCTCGGAAAGTTTTATCGGAGGTAGGATACCGTTAAATTGGTTAGATGCCAATTTTCGGGAGTTGAGCGCAGACGCCTCTGAGGATGAGGTTAAGATGTATGCACGAGCATGCATATTGCAGTTGATAGGAGGGTTGCTGATGCCGGACAAATCGCGCAACCTAGTTCACTGAATGTAGTTGCGACATCTTAGCGACTTTCGTCTTGTCGGATTATTCAGTTGGGGCTCGACAGTTTTGGCTTTGTTGTACAGGGAGATGTGTGGAGCCACTGACTACAGGCGTAATGCTATTGGCGGATGTCTCCTACTGCTGCAGTCTTGGGCATGGTATCGATTGCCCTTTTTATATCCCATTGTGAAAAACCCATTCGTATTTCTACTACTTCTGAGGTAATTATAAAACTGATTTTGTATATTAATAATTTTATACAGCGTATAATAAATTTTTTCCTTGAATAGGTGGTCTACTGATAGGAAAAATCATCAGGAGCTACCTGATGATTTAGAAAAAATTAGGGTGCTAATCGATCAGAAGGCTGGCACACAGGTATGAATTTTAATGTTTAAAAATCGATTTTAGATTATAGTTATATAATTAGATTATTATTTTGATAAAAATTATATATTATTTGTTTTAGTTTGAATGGGTGACATATTCTATTGATGATGTGAGGGCGGTGATCCCACCTGAGTTGAGGGGTCTATCAGATGTTTGGATGGCGATGATCCCTCTGATCTGTATAAGTTAATGGCAACAATGATGTTGTATAAGTTCAATGATGTTGGAAATCTGTACTGCAACGACGACATTCTTCTACTACTTCCAACATGAATCTTTCTCGAAATCTTCGTTATCAGCTCCTCAAGAGTTATGTTTCTCTTAAATGATATTTTAACACGCTCATTTGATACGAAAACAACGCCAGTTCCATCTTCTCAAAATTCACCATCATAATAAACAATAGCTGAAAGTCGCGCCATTCTTTGAGTTTAAAAGTGCGACAATATTATATCTGCAAAAAAATAACTGAAACAAACCTGATTAAATAAATTATATATGAAAGAAAATATAACACACTAAATTTTTTACACATCAACGTAAATAATTTAAATAATATAATTTTATATTATTACCTACACCGCAAAACTATTTCGACGTATGCTCCCGCTTTTCAATTTTACAAACATAAAAATTAATTGAAAATAATTAGTATAATGTTTTTTCAAATAATGATAATAAACAATAAGTATAATAAAAAAAATTATAACAAAATTACCTTATAACGAAAGATCGCACGAACTTTTAAATCAAATATGAGAAGATTTCCAGAATTATTACTCGTTGACGAACTTCTATATGTAATTATTCAGATAAAAGATATAGCGCGGACCATGGACCGCGTTAAATATAATTCACCCCTACATGGCGTATAGCGCGCCCCCTGATCCGCGCTATACCTCTACGTGGCGTATAGCGCGGATCAGGGGGCGCATTATACACACGTGTAATCTATGTCAGCGTATAGCGCAGTGCAGGGGGCGCGCTATACCCCACGTGGCGTCAAATCAACATATAGCATGGTTCAGGGGGCGCACTTTACTGCTACGGGTGTTAGATCGGGAAATATAATCTGACCGGTGTTAGATTGATAAATATACCGATCATCGGTGATTTTTCGAGAAATACACCAAATTAGTAATTCTTTTCTTTTCCTTTCCTTTATATTAATTATTGAGCTTCCTTCTCAAGGACGTACCAATTTATTCAATATATATTTTAGTAGTTTTGCTTTTTTTCCCCCTTACCGCCAGGGATTTAAATAGTATTTACGGTCACGTTTTCGGTCGTGCTTCGTTTATCACGGTTGCATATATAACGAATGCTATTACGGTCATTACGGATATCGTGATCGTGAATTTTTTTCAAATGAGCTGATTTTTTTAAAAAAAATAAAATAACATAATAATAGCATAATAGCGGTCTACTATTGCCGCAGGTTGCGATTCGTTAAATTGTGGCCGCGATCCGTCGCTATTGGTGTGATCTCACTTCACACCGTTATTTTTCGCGATAGCAGTTTCGGACACTACCGTAACTGCGATATAATAGTTACGATACCGCTATTCGACCACTATTTGAAACTATACTTACCACTTTGACAATCCTTTTAGGATTGAGGAAACATTGTTTACAAAATTAAGTATTTATTTTTTATTAAATTAATATGACTACAATGTAGTATTATCTTAAAGATTTTAAATCATTTGATAATTACTCTGTCAAACACCTTGTTTACGTATACATTGATATTTGAATCTGATACTTCTATAATTAATAATCATTCTTTTAACTATTAAAATAATTTAATTTGAACTACCAAATTAAGTATTCATCCATGTGTATAAAGTTTTTATACAATAATGAACTTTTTAATGAAATGAAAAATGTCACATCATTTAGATCAGAAGTTTCCCTCTTTATAATAAAAAGTTTTATAATGGAGTGATTATACAGTATACCTATTTTTATAAGGTTAAGGAAATACATTATTTAAAATATTATAAATAACACAATATTTTAGGTTGTTAACTTTTTCTTACTTTTTTCGGGTGCAAATATTTTTCGTAATATTTTATGTTGCATCCGAGAATGTTACATTTTTCATAATATTTTAGGTTAAACCGAAAATATTAAAAAATAATCTTTTAAGTTACGCGTAACCTAAAATGTTATGTTGTTTATAACATTTTAAGTCATGGTTAGTCTTATATTAGATTGTCTCGTGACTTTCGTTAGCCTTATATTCGGTTGCCTCACCCCATAACTCCTCTTTATAATCTAATCCCAGTAGTAATTATTTTGTTTGAATGTGATCATTACTATTTAAATAGAATTTTTGGAACGTGGTTTGTAGGTCAATATTTCAAAAACCAGTCCTCTGTAAATTATTGATTTGCATGTAGTTATATATTTGAATCACGGTACAAGACAATGTTGGTGCAGACGTTGTGAAACTGGATTCATCTTCACAAATCGTCAGGATAGTTTTTATTGGATCAAGTATAAGAAAAATGAAAAGTGAAAATTTGAAGGAAAATAATAGAATAAACACATTCCCTTAAAGGAATTAAAATATGATAGAATTTAAATTTAGTTTCTGAACTTGAAGAAAAATACTACCAGTATGCCAAATATGAAACTTTACTAGCCCCTCTAGAATGTACA